GGCAGTATTCATAAATCTGAAAAAGCCAGACTTTTTTATGATACAGGAGATTTTTTTAAAAAAAATCAAAAGTAACTCTATTTGAAAAAGAAGGTGCACATCTTGCAGTTCTCACTTAGTCAAGAGTCTTTTGGAGTTGGTAGGATTTTTTTACTATTTAGGAACTTGAGCATTTGACCTATAGATAGGATTCGTAAGAAAAGCTTGTAATAAAATCTCAACTATAGGGAAATAATATGATGATCAAAAGCAAACAGCAAGTGAAAAGAGATTTTCCCTTTTTGACTATGCAATGCTCTTTTGTTGCCACTACAGCAATTCTTTAATGCCATGGAAACTATCTGATAAATGTACTAGAAACTCAATAAATTTCATAATATTGAGGTAGCAAAGCAATTGGTATTGTTGACAGAGAACTTCTGTTCTGCATGCCTATTTTAAGGAAGAAAAATTATCTAAAAATAAAAATAATACTTTGAGCTGTTTTCAACAAAAATATACAATAGTTTCAGAAAACCTGAAAGTAAACTACACTAAATATATTAGATCATTGGAAAATGCAGGAGGATGATAGGAAAAAATAGCCACACCTTGAAATTACAAAAATGGGATACACTGATTTAAAATTTAACAGTCTTACTTTTGGATGGCTTGCTTTACCTAACTTATGTATTTTTAATGAGGTTGAGGGGGATGGGAAGAATACTGTGAATTACATGCAAGTTTTCTGTCCAATTTCTCAAGATGCTAAACACGTCTTCATAAGGCATATGATCTTTTTAGTCATCTATATGTATGTCTTCACCCTCTGGACACTCCCCCACCATTACAGACACTGGCAGAAAAATAAATGAACTTCCCCTCCCCCTTTTACAGGTAATACTGAAACTGCTCTGTTTTCACATGTCCAGTACTAGAATATACTTTTTTCCAACCAATTGTTTTCTAACATTGCACTCCTACCAATCTACCTCTAGAGACTTCTAAGTAAAAAGAGTATCCATGCAATATGAAAGTAAAATAAGCCTCCCATAAATAATACACCTATCCAATGCACACACAATACTATCTTCCTCTACAGAACAAGCATGATTTGAGGCATGCCACAAACTGGGTGAACAAACTTGAGCTGGGTTTGACTGAGGCACAGAGGTGGAAGTACTCATTCCCAGAAAAGGGCCCTTCACCAGGACTGCTCTGCCACAACCGAGTTACCTAGGGGACCTACCAGCCCTGACGATACCAACAGCCTCTTTAAAAGTAAAGCCAAAATCACAAGCTACAATGCACTGCAAGATACACCAGGCAAGAGCATGCAAACATTTAAAAATGCATGCGAGATTGAAACATATATATGAGTACGCATATTGAACATGCAGGATAATTGTATCACAACTTCCATATGCACTTCTGGTCCCATTTGTCTACACTTGAAACAAAGGAGAAAAGGCTGGTTTTAAAGTGTTATACTGGACATTAGTCATATTAAAAAAGATAACTCCAAATTAGATTTAGTCACAATGCAATAAATAAAAATATAATTAAATTATCAGAAAGGTTAAGTCTTTACTGTAGCAAACAGAGCAGCTTTTTGGCTTGTGGCTTTTGAAAGCCTAAACTTAGCCCAACAGAGCCACAGAAGGCACACCTTATTTTATAAATACATTAAATATTTGTTTACCAAAAGATACAATACACACAGTTCTGTCAATTAAAAAAAACAAACAAACAAACAAAAAAACCAACAGTAACAACTTAATTTCTCTATACTTTTTTCCTGGAATAAGCAATACCGAAAGTTCCAGTTCTTCTTATTACATTTCCTAAATAGCAGGTTATCCTTCAGACTTGTACATAGCATCAAAACATACTGTCTCTTCCATTTTTCTTTTCTGGAAGATTTTTATTACCAAATGAACAACAACAACACTGCCTTATCTATCTGTTTTTGCAATACAGGCATGTATGTTCACAGAAGGCAACAGACTGCATTAAAACACTACCAAAACAAGCCATTTCACTATATATGACTCTGCCCCTAGGGAAAGGAATGAGAGCAGATAAGATGTGACAGATGTGTAGTCACGTCACTTAATACACTACTGGAAGGTGCTCAACTCATTATGGTGACAGGCATAGTATAAAAACTTGCAAAGAATGGACTAAGCATTTATCTAGTTTTCTGCATACATGATTCTTGTAATCAAAGAAGATACTGAAGTCCATAAAAGTGCTGTTTGAGAGGAGGCAGCCTGCAAATGTCAGCAAGCAATAAAGCTATTTAAAAAAAAAAAAAAAAAAAAAAAAGAAAAGAAGGGAGCATAGCATGTATGTTTTTGTTAGCAAAGCCCCTCCATCATGAATATGAAACATGTCTAAGGTTGAATTCAAGGTCTGTCCTCTAAAAATTTCCTGTCGTGAAATATTTCTGAAGATGTTTAATTAAATTTGAAATTTACCCAAAACAAGAAGTTTAAATAAACTTAGCAACTATAGATCTCCAAACTGATTTCATTTTTCTGAGACTTTAAAAAGCTATTTTGCTGAAACCTCTTCTCTGTTTTGGTTTGAAAGACCCAAACAATAAGGATAACATTGGAAATCTCATGGTCACTGGACCGAAGTAATACGACTAGTCAGTTGTTTGAAGATAAGTGTAAACCTAAGAGTTTAAATAATTAGGACCTTCAGGCAGCTGGCCAAGAAAAGTATGCAAAATGCAGGAAAAAATTGTTTCCTCACTTCTTTCAGGATTAATAATCCCTAATGTTACAAATATTAATGTAGGTCAAGAATATTTCCAAACAGTTGCATGATTTTTAACTGCCAGTGTCCCTTCAGCAGGGACCAATACCACTGCTGTTTCAGATAGATTGTTAGGCCCAAATCCTGCAAATTAATCTGCGCAGGTAGATCCCTGTGCCTCTGGGAATCCGCATTAAGTCAAAGAAGGAAAACTAACTCACAGGATCACATTCTTAATTTGAAGCTCGACCACTGTAACTCATTATGACACTAATCATAAATGTCTCACCAACACTCTCTGCTCCCCATCTGTTTGTTTTATCTTATTATAGTTTTATATCTCAATCCACGGGACTAGCTACAGTAGTCAAATTAAGCACCTGCATATGCCTATGTTTCTACAAGACCAGGTCCTCCAACAAAGGCAACGTTTTTCTTATGCCTGTGCACATGCCTAGCTTATTCCCTGAATGGAACACACAAAAGAATGAAATAATTGTAACAACAATTTCTTCATTTATACAAATACAAATCTCAATGTTTTCCAGTAATCTAGCCATTTAAGACGAAGGATAAACTCCATTCACCTTCTGAAGTGTAGCAACTAGTATTTTCAAAGGAAATAACCCGCATATCAAAAATGACCTGCGAAAGTATAAAACTGAGCTTTAGAATTATTTTAAAGGAGCATTTGTTTCTTTATCATACTGCCACAAAAAACGGGAAAAATTCATAAAATAATACTCATCACAGACTACAAAGTCATATCCACTGGCACCGACAGACCCTAAATTGAGAAATGCTAAAGCAGGGGAGCATTCTGGTACAGTATTACTCCAGGTCTGCTGCTCTTCTACTCTCCTCTACACTTGCAAGTGGGTCACTGCCAGGCACAATGCAGTGGGGCTAGATGGACCTTTCTTTCGACCCAGTATGACCATTTGTGCATTCTTACAGGTATCTCACAGAAAGAAGCCCCAAATATTTTAATGACAACTCTGCTAGAACTAATCCTAGAATCCTACTTCTAATTTAATTAAAAGATACACACTAAGGTGTGAGTTTTTGGGAGGGGTTTGTTTGTTTTGGGGGGGGTTTTTTGCAACTTCTCTCTTCTTATGGAGAAGTGGGGTTAAGAACTAAACCAAAATGCAATTAGACATTTATGACATATTTCAATACTCTGATTAACAAATTTGTCAAACAGGTAGTGGAGGTAATGTGGGAAATATACTTGCCCACAAAGCAAATATGGGACAGACGCAATATTAAACCTATTAATCTTGCTATTTTCCAGAATTATCAGCACCAACCACACTTACTTTCCCTACTTATAGCAGAAAAGAATAGCAATGAAAAAAAATCCACAAAACTAAAAAACCATTTGAGAATTCAGTGGAAAAGAAACACTTCTGAAAGGCGATTCCCCCTTTCTTACCAGACAGACATAATTCTGAGAGGTGCTTTTGGCCCCTGAATTTGTACTGAGATTCAGTGACAACGGATTTAGGGGAAGCATTCAAGATATTAGAGATATTGGCATCCTTTCAAGGGTATTATGCTGGATCACAATTTTCTCTCCCAAATTAGAGGTTAAATCTGCCAGCAGAAACTCAACCAGAGCTGGGGTATGCAGGCTCTCAAAACAGTAGTGTCTTGCCTAAGACCTGATTGGCAGCATCTTTCCTCTTGAGAGGCTACAGCTCATGGGACCTTTCGATTTCAAAACCCAACAGAAGCCAGGAGCTGGGAGCTACCCATTCACAAATAGTATGAGAGGGGGTCCCATGTCCCCAGTAATACCTTGCTGTAGGGCATTCAAAATATGCCTGTGGGCTGCATTTGCCACCACTGTCACAGTTGCAGACCCACACATCAAGGAATGATACTAAAAACCAGCTTCCCTCTGCTTACAAGCCAATTTACCCTTACCAAAATTGTTGCTCATTTATATCAACTCTTGAGGATTCTCAAACTAAAATAACTCACACATAGCCTGAGCGCCTTGAAAATTCAAGTCATGGTACGGGTAAACATTAGCATTTAAAACTTTCAAAAGTATTGCAAACAATTACCACACCCTCAAGTCACAGATAAAACATTTTGTAGAGCTTAAATACATACATTTCTGGCATGAAATATTCCTCATTGCTGGCAAAATTTCCCTGCAATTTCTGGCAATAGAATACTTTGAGTTTAGAAGCTGGCTGTAGAGTAAAATTGTTTTATTTATTAAAAATCATTCTTGATCTTACCTTTTAGCAGAGGCAGGGGAGTTAACTCGATAGGCTTGCCCTGAGACCTAAACTGGGAAGAGCTTTGTGACCTCTTCTGTCTGGCTTTTCTGACGGACTTCCGAGAAAATCCGTCTACTTTATCCACTGATGGAGGAGTAGTTGGTGCTGAGGACATATCCCTACTGAAGGAAAACAAATGTTACAAATATATTCCAAATGGATGAAATGGGTAAATATTAACCTAAATTTTCCAAAAATCTTCTTCTTTCTGCACTACTCTCCTGCTGACAGTTCACCCAGACAGACTGTTAAAAGAGCTACCCCACCAACATATGCACAAATTGTATGGAACAAACTTAATGGAACAGTGTAATAATTCTTCTCGCTCACTTTTTTTATCTACGCCTCCCATTTGCCAAAAATCCTGCAGCAGGAAAAATTCAGACCTAATGCTGACATCATTATGTCAACAGAACTTCATACACCTGCAGACCTGACATGGGATTGTAGCCTTAAACTATGAATTCTTTGGGACGAAGTTAATGTCAACTCATTCTGGAAGGGACCACGAGTGCTAAAGAATGGGTAAACAAAAAGGTACAAATGTTTTTTTGGCATTAAAGTCATCAATATGCATAGGACAAAAAAAAATAGGACAGAAGAAAAATACAGTTTATTTGCCACACCTACACACAAGATTTTATAGAAATTTAAGAAAGTATAGCAAAAAGTACTGCTATGCTTCACAACTGCACTAACACTGACAAATTCCACATATTACTTCTTTATTCTCCATTTTAGAAATACTCAGTTATTTTCTTGTGAGTCTCTTTACACACAGTTATTCCACGTTCTGGCATTTCTGTAAGAATAGCAATGTGGTAGCCATAACTGTTCTAGGGGCATAAGCCAGACAAGGTTTGCAGGGAGAGGCAGAGAGCAAGAAAAGGTTTCTGCAAGCAAAAGTTTGTTTGTTTCCCAACCCTATCAGCTGATCTAAGAAATAAGCATTGCTTCTTCCTATAAAACTTGCCTTGGTAGTACTCCTGTAGCTGATTCCATACAACTAAGAAATACCTAAAGGAAACATCTAAACAGCGAATTAATCCATCCAGCTGTTGTATTTACTAGTCTTGTCCTGTCTGTTAAAAAGGCCATCACATCTTGGTGAAATACATGAGTAATACTTAAGGGAAACGAGATAGGAGGAACTTAGGCCTACATGTTTCAAGTGGCTCTGTGTACAGTTAACTTCACCAGCATGTGCACCTCTACTGAAATCAACACAACTACCTGCATTAATAACACGATCATTAACAAGAGCAGCTCTGTTGATTTCAGTCAGGCTACACACTCGTGCAAAGTTAAGCATCGGCATAAGCATTTGCAGGATCAGGGTCTTAGAACATGTCCTTGGAAAGCATTACTCATCCTCAATGTCTGTTGACTTCAATTACCAAAGTGACTCGTACGCTAAAAGAAGTTGATTCCACAATATAGAGAACACCTTCGAGTGCTTATTTTATTAAAATATTTGGTTACTCATATGCTTCATAAATTATTAAATCCATTGAAACATGCTACTTGGGTTTGTCTTTTGTAAGAAAAGCTTTAGAAAGTATGATTTATTGCAACAGTGTAAACAAGTTTCGAAAAAACTATTTAATGCAAAATTACATATACGTGCACTAAATCTATCAAAAATGGAAGTATAAACTCCATAGCTTCTTCGAGGAAGTATGTGCAGCACCCAGAAGCTGAACTCTGCAGCTGGCATTACAATAATGAAAAAACCTTATTCCATCTTTTTGATTTCTCCTGAGGCATTCTTTCACTACCAACTTATGCTTTCTAAATATAATTTACTATCAGCAACATGAACCTGCACCTTAAACTGCTCTTGTTTATCATCTGGGGGGGGGGGAATACCACCACCACCAGGGCATTCAGGCCCCAGCCAAGATTAATAAATAAAAAAAGTCAGATAAACTGAAATAGAAGGGCCTGTACTTTAGCAACCCACTTCCAAGATTTCAACAGTCCGCCAAAAAAACATAAACACAAAGTTACCTGTTACATAAACCAAATTCTGGAAATATCAGCAAAAATATATTCTTAAAACCTGAATTGGTTGGCCCCATTTCATCTCATCAAAAAGATTCACCCCCTCATCACGTGCACCATTAAAGTGTAACCATTTCTGCAAAAATGTCTGCATGCTCTCTCAAAATTAAATTACCAAAAAAAAATAATAATAATAATAATATTAATGGACAGGGACTAAAGTAGATCACTTAAACTGCAGGATCATTGTGTCAGCAAGAAGCTTTACTGACACTTCTCTGCTGTAAATTTAGTAACAGTTTCCCTAACCTGCTTTATAAATTATTAAAATCTAATTCTAATTCAACAAGACTACATCCAGCCTAACAACCTTACAGTAAACACTGATCTTTTTTTCATCTCTCCAAATGAACATTCGCTCTCCTGAATACACTATCACAGTGAAACACACTGTTTCAACGAACAGTGGGGGGGGGGGGGGGGAACGGCGGGGTGTTTTTTTTGTGGGGGGGGGG